AACATGTGTAGATTACGTACGCCGGGATGCATCCCAAAGCAAAGCTATTCGATACTGATATTTCATGTAATACGAAAGATACACTCATGAGAGACGCCCACGGGGGCAGGACGTTATGACAAGAGCTGAATAAGAACATACACAGAAACGGTTGCACGCACTTAATTTCACAAATGACGTGCATATATTTACGCTCCGCACGCACCTGCGACACCGAATGCGAACGTTATTTCCGTGCGTATCTGGCTCGAATGCTGCTTTGTTAGAATTGTCAATTTGAATGGCGAAGCACTATCATCGATAAAGGTCACGGCTATTACGTATCAAATAGGCGGCAAACCTTTGTGCCTTTTTCAAAACCCATTTTTTTTCATAAAATAGTCATCTACTTTTCTATCCAGTCGACATGTTCTCATTGGAAATAGCTAACATATCGAACTAAACATACGATGATCTATGGTAAAGACACAATTCGAAGCACTGTGGTGTCCCATGGTTTTCATAGTGATTAGATCATTGATTAAATACGAGCTATATCCGTTTTTTGCTACTTCTTTCGTACGCGTTACGCAGCGACGTACTCTGTAACGGCTGTCAGAACCTGTTTTACGTTCTGGCTTTTGCCCATCGGTTCTAGATCGTGTCAAAGTCTCAACAACAGCCTTCACTTGAGGTGTTATGGCCGCAAGCTTTTCGGATAAGCTAACATAAGCCGCTAGAGACTTTCGTAGCTGACCTGTGATCCTTTTCGCACTGGAAAGCTCCTTCGATGCCGTGAAACCGCCGTCTAAAGGTCAACGGTCGCAACATTCAGCAGTCATCAGTACGCTGTTTCAGGTCAACGCATATTGAATGCTGAAACTATGCAGTGATCTTCTTATATCTGAGACATACTGGACGAAGTACGCACAGATACAACGAGCGCAACATGATATAGGCAGTTAGTATCACGACGCTTAAATCGTACAGATTCCGCTTTTACTTGGAAACACGATGTGTACGACGTGGAAGTTGATTTTACACTAATTTTTATTAACGTCGTCTCTTGTATTTGCATAGAGATACTGCTGGTGGATCATGTTTTTAAAAGGTGCCGGATGACAAGAGACTTTTAATAAATAAAGGCCACTAGCCCGCTGTTTTAGCATAAAATTAGAACCTAGTTGGACCTCTGTTGCGACGACTAGATTATCAGTAAAGAAGTGAAAGGTACACAAATCTCTTTAGTTTATATGAGCAAGTTTTACGTATTGCTTAAAATATTCGTTAAGACCCGGATCTTCTACAAAATATTAGCAATAAATGGTGCCTAGGATTGCCACGTTTCTATAAGCTTTAAGCACTTACGAAGCTGTTAAGTTCATGAACGATTTTAAAAGCGCGTGTAAGTTGATTTTCCAGGATGACCAACAAATCAAGTGCGTCACATTGTACTCATCGTAAACAACCCCTCAGCAAACTCTCGTTTAGCAATACAAAAACTGCGAGAGACCCTTTGCACGGGTGCGCGGGGTAAAGGGTTACGCACCAACAAAAAGAACTCAGCTGGGGATTCCGTGTTTGCATTGTACGTTGAACTGACATTGCTGACGTGTTATCTCCACAATGCAAACCTCAGCGTACCAAGACATGTATAACATTATACCACAAGTACGAGCCAGCCCGTTGAATATGGCACCAAGCAACGTCATGACCGCAATAAATTTGTGAGAAACCCTAATTTTTTATATTTTGAGAATAAAGCAGCTGGTACCGTTTCCAGATGAACAAGCTAGTTGGCCTTCCTTGTTCCCTAACTGTTTTACTTTATGCTTTAATGCTCTAATGCCTACTTGTAATATGGCCTTTAACAGCGGTGCGCTTCTTCACACACGGACTAGTAGCAGCTGGCGAATATGTTTTATACGAAAATGCTGAGAAAAATATCAAACAAACGAACGCGACTATGACTTTCGCCACATACCAGAAAGAAGATTGCTGAGAATCCTTCTATTACATTGCCCTGGGGCTCTTTGGAACGAAAAAGAAGGAATGTTTTGGGTGAATTATAATCATGCAAATATGAAAAGTGGATACTATACTAGTTAAAATGTCGGAAGCCCTGCGTTAAACTACCTCAGAGAATTACTGCACAGTAACTGCGCGTTTCACCGCACGCGAGAATCTACAGTAGAAGTAAAGTCGTGTCCAGGCTTCGGGGAATATTTCGCAGAGACAACGAGTCGCATTTTACCCATCCACACATCTCATATGTGCGTAAATGTTCGAGGGACCTAAGTCTCCTAGTAGTAGGCCTCTAGCACTATAAACGTGTCGCTATTTGGTTAACGGAGGTCAAAAAGTACATTAAAATAACATTTAAATTAAAAAAATTACTCGTCGATTGGACGGAGACGCATTGTTTGTTCGTGCTGTGACTTGATTGCGTTTCCCGATCTAAATTGTAGTACGCTTCTGTAACTTTCGATTGATATGCTCAGACGATGATGACGATGAATAACGTATTGATACGGAAATTTTCAGAGGCGACATTGTATTCTTGGCAGAAGCATCCTAACTCAAGACAGTTTCTCGTTGTTCCTAGTAACTGTATTCGTATCAACACTGTGTAATGGTATTTAAAACTATGTTTGTGGGAACATGAAGCAAGATCAGTCCCAAGCGGCGACGAGAGAGTACAGGTCTTCGGTGGCCTTAAACCGACAGCGTACAACCCGTCACAAATGCGTTTGCAGAACAAGCAGAAACGGATTCCAGCTTAACAAAAGAGAAAATTCCTAGCAGGAAAAAAAAAACACTCCGTATTCCAGTTTCTAACGCTCCCCCTCCTTCCGTTGGCAGCGAAAGGGTTCAACGTAAATAGGTGAACCATACCACGGATTGTTCGCGAAAATCTATACGTCATATGCCGCACAGATGCGTCTTGAGGCCTATAAAACTAACGAAATATGATTGGTCCAGTTTGCTTCTTAATTCTTTCGTCTTTGATAAGAGAAGTTTATCACTAAAGCAGACATCAGCTGCAGGTATGTGTTCTACATGCGTAGGGAAGTTTGTTTGCATGTTCCTCAGTCATATGCCGAACTTAAGCAAGCGTTCGGGGAGAAACCATACGTTCTCCAGGAAAATAGTGCATCGGTTTATGTCGGTCACTGGCTGGAGTCCAGAGTTGACTGCTTGAGAATATGAGCCTGTTCTAAAGTGGGCAAATATGACCGGCAAACAGCCCAGATTCGAATTCGTTGGATTAGTATTGACTGAGAGAGAAAGAGTTTATAAGCCTCGTCACGATAATGCGTGCTCCCTAATTCGTGCTACTAAAAAGGAGCTTGTAAGGAAACACCTGAAACAAGTCTATGAGCAATTTAGGTCCGGAATCAGGGTGAATGATGGTTATATTGGATAAGTATGACCATGAGGAATGACACTTTTAGCGTAGGCTAAGTCTTAGTCAATATCTACTGCCGTTTAAATACGTTCTAAGAAACAGCTGATCAAACCGTTCTTCGTTTAGATGCCCCTGCCTGTGAGTAGATTCTTACGGTTTAAAGACAACATCACTGTGTTCAGATCATTTATGCTTATTTCATTTCTGATAGCGCTACAAGGGTAAACTACTTTCCTAGAAAGAAAAAGAAACCTTTCTAGCGACGTCTATCTAGCCTTTTAAGCTCTCTAGGAGATGTATTTTCAGCGAAGACTTATCTAATTGTAATTAAGGTACACGTTTAGTGGAGCCAGACGCAGCTGGCTCTTCGATTTAACGTTGGCTTTTGACTCTAATAACATAGCAGATCAGCTCAGCTATGTTATTTTTATTCAGCCAGGACACGCCCTTGTTACAAAGCAATAGCCAGGAAGACTAATGAGAAAAGCTCTGTTTCTTTTCTAATGATTGCACATAATGCTTTGAATTTAAAATAGCGCCTGAAAAACTAGTAGTTATTGCGAGCCCAAACCATTTACTCAACTATTTAAATTATGGGCCCTCTATTTTACGGCTTTTGACTAATAAGGCAATCAGTCTTGTAACAAAACCGCGGGCGTGAGCTAGCGCTCTCGATTTAGGTGGGTGTTCGCTCGAATGCAATATTTCCTTGTATTACATAGTGATCGATGCATCGGTAGATCTTTTAAGCGGTCAGTGATGAAATACAGGAAGAAGAATCGACCACTCGCGAGGAAACTGAGGATGATATTATTCGACGGGAAACTTTTGAGGAACGCTAACAGTAACTGACATGGCTAAGTTCATGTTAATTAGAAAAGAAGAATGTAACGAAAAAAGGCGAAACTTTGATGAGCATACTTGCCCTTGTTAGCCGTTAGTTACACTTTATATGTTTATAATGTTTTGCCGTAAAAGCTAAGAAATATCCCCAAAAGGGCACAAAGAAATATAGGGAAACGCTAGCTGTTTAGTGAGAACGCATCTGGATTGCCATTATGCCCTAGGTGGTTCCAGGGCGAAAAGTTTCATCAAGAAATCCGCTCCCAACGATCAATCTACAGTTCACAATGTTAAAGTTGCAGCTGCCGTTGGTCGTTGACGTTAGTCGAACTAATAAGCTCATTGTGTTCCGGCTGAATTTTCGAGCAGCCGAGAGTAGTGCGAGATAACTTGGGGGAGAAAATGTTGATGATTAAAAAAGTAACTGATCATTACATATGAATAAATGTTACATAAACTATTTTCTCTTGCGGCTCGTTGAAGCGATCGCTCACTCATCTACGGACTAAAACAAGGGCCTTTTCTATGCAAAGTAAGAAAAGAAAAATATGGTTGTTGGCCATTTTCCGCTCTTGGCAGGTGGCATAAGTACGGAACTAAGACGTTCCCTCTTTAAGGCTTTTATCGCACACGTCTATATGAAGCCGGCACGATTCGTTGTGCCAAATAGTTACGGCGTGATCCGAAGAGGGCGCGTCGTTCAGCGGAGTATAAAGGCCGCTAGATGAGCAATCCAACCGTCAGTCCGCCTGCAGATTTCAAACTACAGTACAGCGGATCGGATCTATGTGTCAAACGCTACGTTTGCGACGGGTATTCGTTATCGTTGTTATTAGATGATACTAAATTAGTGCGTTAATCATTTGACGATACATCTATGTGCTGTCATTGTTTTCGGGGTTTAGTTCGATAAATAAGTATTGATGATGACTGGGCCGTTCCAGTCGATTGCGGCTGCTACCATCCTTGGATTTCACTTTCATCCGTTCCTCGAATGCTCATTATGACTGTGTCATAAATTACCTCGTTATCATAAACTTTTAACGACCATATCGCATTAGTGCTGCCGGCAAGTTTGAAGATAAAACGAAATTAGAGCAGTGTTCGGATAGCGGTAAACAAAGTACCTTTCTGGACCGGTGATCAGAGCAGATCATTATAGTTCGACTCATGTGGCGCGGATGATACTATTCAGGTATTGATCGATGGCTGAGAGAAACAGGTTGGTATGTACGTATACTAGATCTAAACGTCTTTTTCGGCCATTTCTCGAACACTTGTTTAAGAGAGTTCTACCTTTGCAACACAGCGCGGCCAAGTTCCTCAGCCGCCCAACGAAAAATAACTCGCCGGCGGAAATAGTAGTCTACAGTTGAGCGAAAGAAAAAGAGCTTTGAAAGAGATTGTCAGAGACACCACTTTGCTCGAGTTTCGGGCGAGGGGAAGTTAGGGAAAACGGGAGACATGCAGATCGAGAATGACGAAAACCTTGACGGCTAGGAGCTATAAAGTTGGTATTTCAAGTTTTGTTTGAAGCAACCAACTGTAGAAGGACAGTTGGATTGTTCTCTTTTTCAGTCTCAATGTTCAAAACCACTGCTTTGTGCACTTCAACAGATCTGATTGATAGAAATCTTTGTAGCAATTAATTCATAGACGAGAGAGATGTTTATACTGCCGCATTTGGTCGTGCGCCCAAAACTGTGTATCAATTAGTTGTTAGTCCTGCCTATCTACCTGCCTACCTCATGGGATCCGTTTGCAAAACAGCAGTAAATTTTTAAAACAGCTACTAGATGATGATCGCTCTCGTGGCTTTTAGTAAAAACATAACATTTTTAGACGTTTTTATCTAAGCTAAAAATGGTGATCTATAGAACCCAGCTCCTTGTAACTAGCGCTGCTATAGCGCAAATGAGTGATGGTGAGAGCAGCTATTGCTAAGTGATCCTTGACCTAATTCAGGCCTAGAGTGCAAGCTAAACATTTTCCCAGCTGTTACCTGATGTTGTCCTGTAAAACGAAGAGCTAGACGGTGAACGTTTACATACTATTGCACTGAACTACTCAACTACACAATCTTTAAAATTCAATTCAGGAAAGTTTCGTTAACACTATTAACGATATTCAGCTGTCTCTTTGACGATAGCACGTATCCAAGGCGTCTCTGTATGTAAGGCTCAGCTTTCTGTTCGTTCTAGTCGAATTGAAGGCAATACTTTTAATTTCACTACGATAATTTGAAATGCAAACAACTCTCCATAGACACTCGGCAGTAGCCTAAGGGTATAGAGGAGAGACTGTTGTTCTTAAAATAGTCTGTCGGATTGTATTGCCTAATTCAACCTTTAACTCCTATTGTCGCGTTGACTCGTAATCACGAATGGAACGCAATCATTCAATAGCGAGCCTAGCAACCCTTAGAAACATCTGTTTTTTTTTTTTGCTCTATATTTGCGTGTTACACGCAATAAACAGCACCCAATGCCACAGTGTTTTCATTATTTACTGGCTTTCTTTGCTTTATTTATTATGCATAGTATACATAGCAACGCGTATACGATCTAAAGGCATGTACATTTGACGTATCATACTTCATAAGAAGGGACTATAAAAGAACAATCGAATAATTGTGTGTTGGTCTAATAAATGAGACCTTTAATGGAAAAAAAAAATCTAAGGCTTTCATAATTCCAATTGATAAGAAGAACATAATTCTGATACGAATTGTCACTGGAGATCTCTCCGTCAAAGTTACCTGTACTGAGCAACGTTACGTTAACTGTGAAGATTCAATGCTCCTAAATATAGCTCTATTTAGCTTCATTTAGTTCAATTATTAAGGCAGTACGCCGTTCATTCGCCGGCATTTTGTAACACATACGCACATCTGGTATTGTTGATTCCTATACGATATGATTCTTTTAACTCATGCTTCTTTTGGATTAAACATCATCGCCCCATATCTCGATGGGTGTAAGTAATGTCGATACAGTTAGACATCATAAGACCTACGACGGTTTCTAATCCCTAACCTAACCTAACCTATCTTCTTTTTTTACCTAGCTACCTCAAGCTAAGTTTGCTTTGGGCCATATACGAAGCAAAACAGACGCGAAAAATGAACGTCAATTTTCCAAGCTTGTTTGGACTAAATGTTGCACAACTTTCCTGATACGACAAACACGAACTACTAGAGAAGTGAGATAGTCCTACCATTGATGGCCACGCCTTATGCAAGCTAACCGCTGGCTTTTAGGCCGCTCGTGAGGTGATTTTGTATGCCTTTTTTTTTTGCTCAGTATTCCAAGTTTGTCTATTATATACTAGGTGAAAAAAATACAGACAGACACGCTAATAGATAGTATAATTAGTGTATTATATATATATATATATGTAGTGTAGTATAAGAAATTTCAATTTCGTAGAGATTATTGACGTTTATATCCATCAATATTGTTGGATTTAGCTTTATCTAAATATTGACTAAGTACGCTACCGTGCCTGCGTACTTGATAGCTAGTAATCTTTGCTTGTCCGGATTACGACAAACGACGCAAGCCACTACCGAGCTAAAAATGTATCATACCGTCAATAACAGTCCTTGTTTCGTTTTTTCTAAAGTGAGCTGGCAATTCGTCATATTCCGCTAACCTAACTGTGTCTAAGATGAGTGCGACATGGTAACACTCCAGTCTCCTGAACGTCTGCTCTTTTGAATTGGTAAGCTAGGCATATCGAACTGGGCTATCAGCATATTTGTCCTGCCATCGCTTTTTTTTTTATTGAGTCTAACCTGTCCTTTGGGGCTATGTCGCGGTATATTTCAATGAAATTGTGATTGCATTAGACGGCATAAAAAGGAAAGCTAATCATGGCTACACGGCCTAGTTTGCCTCTATTTCTAAATCCACGGTTTTGCAATTATCTAACACTGTAACTTTGTTATTGTCACTCCATGAAATGCTTGTATTACCTGGCTTACCTAGTACGGTATAACGTTAAGCTCTAAAATTTGGCAGAAATTTACTGTTTTTGGATACACTTTGGAAATCTGTACGTTAAAAAAGCTTTTACTTCGTGAAAACCTCCAGACACTTTATTACATCTATAGCCCCACGGACGTCGCACCATTCCTGAATCACTTACCTACATTGCCAGCACAGATTACTGGTTGTACACAGCGGTATAGCGACGAGCGAGTGTTCCATTGAGCCAACTTCAGAAGCGAAAACCTATGTTATGCTTCCCAAAACTGCTATGCCCCTCGATTGCGTTTCGCAAGCCGAGAACGGAGAACCGACCTATTGGGGTCGCTAAGTATAGGTCTATGCCTATCAACGAGAACCCTAAAAGGGCAGACCAGTAAATGCGAGACGCTTTCAATGAACGAAACTCTCGGCCTTAACGAGACCTCTTCAACATATGAGCTAACAGCGTCGACCCATGTTTGGACAACGTTCAACTATAGCCAAGTCATGGACAAATCCTGGCAACGTGTTCTTCGGCCAGATTGACAGCTTATCATTCGATTTACAATCCACAACTTCGGCACGGTAAGATTCCCGTGCTTGGAGTTCTGTAACGAGATTTGTTGGGAGTATGGGGAACAGACTGACCGCACGCGTCTTACTGATGACGCTCTCCGTCGTATCTTAGCACAGATTTCATTTAAACAATAAACGCCAGTAAAATCCGAGGATTGCAATCTACGTTGAGCAGAAGTTATTGATTGACGAGCGAGTGTCTGCCCGTTCGTGCTCCTTCTGGAATTTAGTTAACAGCAATATACTGCTCCGATTGTTCCAGCGCAAATTACAACGGGGATGCAACAGTGGTCAGGCTCACTCACAAAATCATTCTCGTCATGGAAAGCTGGCTGGTCCTCTGACAGAACGAAATTATAAAATTTTTTTTACTACTAGTTCTAAAGTGGGCTGTGCAGTTGTCCTTTATCTACAAAGAAACACAGTTTACCCTGACCTTTGACGATCCATTCGTTTAGATCGGTGTTAATTTTGACAAGGTTGCTTTCGCGTCTGCTATAGCAAAATACCGAGTCAATATATAAGAAAGTTATCACGACGCCATAGCTGGACGGCGGACCATTCAAACAGATGGCGTCTAGACAGCCGCCTTCCTAATCCACTGCGAAATCGGCTCTGTGGTGGGAGGCTATTGGATCTACCTCAATTTTTTTTGGCCTCGTCAACCCAATGATCGGGCAGGCCGATCGCTCCGATGGTGTTCGGTTTCAGAATAAGCAGGTTGGATAGCTGTCCTATGGGAGGCCTTCCTGCACTTTTTCATTCAACAGAGCGAAACCGTCCTTTAGTAACAATAGGGCTCTTGGAGGACGTGCATTTTTCCCTTCTTCTAGTGAATTAGCGATTAGTGTGTCTCACTCGGGTTCAGCTTCAGCACCAGGCAGAAGGAAAAGAACTGTAATAATACGTCCCCTTCGTTCTGTTGAATAGAGAAGTGTGAATCAGGTTCATGTCAAGATTATAGCACATTGACGTGTACCTTGCCGCCGTCTCGAAACGTATTTTGCCAGCCAATCGGTAGTTCAGGACAAACGTTTCGCAAGGTAAAACGCTAATTTCTGTGTAAACACAGAAAAATAAGAACAATTATTTACAGTTCTGTTAATAGCATCGATCTGAAGTTTGAGATGTTAACTTTGACAACACCTAAAACTAGCAATGTCTAAGCGTGTACGTAACATAGCAGACCGTATCACATATATCTTTTTCTTTCTTTTAAGTTCACATTCGCATCTCATAGTCGGAAGCTTTCCGTACATTTCCCGAATCCTAGCTGGCCGTTGCGCATGCCACATCCTCACTCGTCACCTATATGAAGTTATCTGCAAGTTACTAAATGCCTATCATTCGCATGACTGGTGGGAGACATTTCAGCTTATCCTGGTAGTACTTCTGCCTACTACAGACTCTCTATTTCAGACGTATGTATAAGTTTTTTTTTGAAATCCGTAGAGGGCTACAGTTGTAAAGAACAGCTGTTAGAATACAATATACTTTCGAACGAATGAGAACCTTGCATAGCTGAATATCTAGAATAGAGATACAGAAGCCGAAGGCCGAACGTCTCTATTGGCTGCATTCTTTTTTTTCGGGTAATAACCAAGAACATAGCAAACCATGGTCTTGGTTCGCTCAACTTTACGAGATATGGCAGCCATGATATCCCTTGGAGTCACTGCCTCTAGTAGAAAGCATAGCACTAGTGCAATAAGCGCCGAGCTGGAAGACATCCGTGATTGAGACACTCGCTGCCAACTCGGCTCCAGTACCCACTTTGACAAGACTAAACAGCTGTGGAGCGATTAACAGTGAGGTGTGTGGATGTGAATAAGAGGCCCCCGTGGGGTTGGACAGCCTGCATGTTTTACTGGGCCACCTTTTGAAGTGTCGTGATTGACGCTAAGGTAAGCTTATTTACATGAATTAGGCCCTTTTATATACATATCGCTATAACCATAAATGCTTCTCTGTTTGTGTGCGATGTATGCCCATTGCAAAAGCACTAGTGAGATGTTGAAATGCCACTTACATGACGCCTTTTTCTGTACTTCAACTAGAATAACAACAAGTCGACCTACTCGTGAGAGGGTCGACGACACTGATAGTAGGGCTTTGTAATTAATCTCGGCTCACCGAAGTCGGGCCCGGTTTATTTCGAAACTGAATTTTTATTATTCGGATCCATGCTGAACGGAAGTATCAGTAGTATAATAGAGTGCAAAGTCTTTTTTGATCTGTAGCTTTGGTGTAATTGTGGTACATGACTGGACGAGGTCGTTACTTCAGTAAGCAATATTCAACGAGTTGAACGTCTTTGGTAGAAGCGTTTTCCTCGAACTTCTGTAGAAGTTCAGGAAAAATAGTCTAGGTCATCTTCGTCAGCGTTTGCCCGTAACTCGCCGAAACTTGAAAAGTCTTATTTTGCACGATTGCTACAGATGTTAACTGAGGATAGCAGCGAATGAACGACATCCATTCTATCTCTTCGACAAAATCATGGTCGTGTTTGCCTGCCCTGCATCGACACATTGTAAACGGCCGTTGGATTAACCAGTCTAATATCATCTCTGTCGCTATGGTCCTACTATCGAAAACCAGAGTACGGTTTGATAAAATGTTTAAGCGTAATCTCTTTAACTTTCTTTAATTATGATTGCTTGTAGCTATACTAGAGCGTCGACGAAAGCATATCGTACGCGTATTCTATATATAAATAGAAATTCTTCATGGAAGATGAAATTTAATTTAATGATACATAATATTTTACATTTGTTACAGATAGATTCTGACAATTTTATACGCAGTCGTTTGGAGTGCTCGGTCATAGTTTCGGCTACGTGGGCGCCGATGGTGGTCTAGGGTCGAATGTGGCAGTAGGCAGAGACAAGCTTCGTTTTGTGACGAAGTCAGCCATCTGTACGATGGGACGCCTAACGTAAAATTCGAAATATAGCGGCGCCGTAGATGATGTCGCCACGGGCGCGCACTAAAACGCATTTTACGTAAAAGTTCACAAGTACCTACGGATAAGTGCCTCTAGGGTTAAGCGATTTATTGGAAAGGGGCGTGTAAACATGACGCTCACAAATTCGCGCGGAAGATGTCTTCATTGCAGTAATTGGCCACTAACCGATATGGAACGGTCAATAAATACGCTGCCGTGTAGATTATCAAGAGAAAAAAACGTGATATATGTAAGATGCAGGTTAAACACTTTTCCCTGCCCAAACTTCAGATACAGTTACATCTACTTACGAGCTTCGTCGAACATAAATAAACTGCCCCTTTTATCTACCCAAAATAACACTGACATGCGCCGCTGTTATAATTCTATGTGGTTGTTGTACAGAATATGTGCTGCTACCCACAAAGAATCAACGTGCAACAGCTAACATGTATTGAACATTTTATTATTATTATATATAGTATCGGATATATCGGTGTAATAATATCGGATAAATAAAGTAATCAAATCGGATGAATTTCTGGTCGTGGAAAGTGTTTCTAAATCTTACAAACGTTTGAAAGGGTCCTGTTAAAGTCGATCAATTTTCAAGCGCAACCTATTTAACACAAGCGGTGACAGGGTAAGTAGGCATCGAGCTCACGGTCGCAGGGTTTCGGGTTTGATCTCCAAATCATTACTTTTGCCCACTGTGTAATTATAATTGACGACCGCAATTGTTATTATTGAATATTGTTATTCACAGTACAGAATTTTACGTGTCATGTAACGACACGATCATCGTCACGTCAGTAGATTTCAGCTGCGTGTCTAGGTTCGGAGCTGTTGTACTTTTCAACTTATTTCGTAACTAACTAACTAACTTGTTATAATGGCAATATACACAAGCGTAGCTTTCCTTCTGTCACCAAAGCCTGGAACTTTAACTACCGTAACTACTACGTCATATGTTTACCACTAATGTTATTAGGATTCTGCCTTGGATATCTTCAGCGATAATTAAGACCACCTTGCTGCATTACAGCCTCTTAGGGAGATCTGTTAAATAAATAAATAAATTATTCTTTTATCGAATGCGAGTATATATGGTCTCCCGGGTTCATGAAACATTTTTCAGAATTGGTCATAGGTGGTCCGCTAATAAGCCTGATTATACATGTGTATTTGCTGTATCCGGGGCATCCTCAGATGTTCATGTGGAGAAAGTTGCG